GATTATCTTCTTCTACCACTAGTGCATAAGCTTCAATGACTGCTGGAAGCGGATTCATGGCAAGAATCCGACTACGAACGGAATCAAAGTTGGGATCGAGTCCTCCCAAAAAATCGTACACACGTTCCACCTCAAGTGCTTGTTGGTGAAGAGCCACATCATCGGGATTGGTATGTTTGCAGGGACGGAGGCTGTCAATTTCCTGCCATATTATGTGTAATTTTTCGTAGAATACATTCACAGGTTCACCACTTTGAGAGGTGGTGACTGACTGACGACGGAGTTGGTACAACTTGGAGCTATTCTGTGTGACAGTATATGTCTTCCGAGCTGCGTCCCACACCGCATAAGCCGTTGAGCAGTGATCAAATAAGGCACGTACATTTTTGGTCATGGAGTTGAGGAGCCATGACTGCACCAAACAGTTGTCTTCATCCCAAGCTTCATAGCTAGGATCATCAATGGCAGGGGCAATCTTTTTACCATTAATGAAACCAGCCATACGACGAGCAGTGATGGCCAAGCGAACACTACGAGACCATGCAGGATAGTTGGACCCATCCAACTTATCAGGAGTAATTGGAGAGTAGTCATGAGAGGACCGGGGTGGTGGTGGTGTTGTGGAGTCGATCTTGGTGGAGTCGATTTTAGAGGAGTCGTCCGTGGAGTCGTTGATGGAGTCGTTGGTGTCACCCATGAGGTAAGTATATAAAAGGATGTAGAGGAAGAAATAGCTTAAAACTTCAGCAAACAAGAGCACAAAAAGGGCTTGTGATCAAGACCAATTTTGAGGCAAGGCAAAGTATGAGGTAGGAATAATATAACAGCAAATTATGGGCAAGGATAGGTAGAGATTTAGGCAAGAACAAGGTTATGCAGAGGCAACCAAAATCGATTGCTCTGATACCATGCCAAATATAGTATAATTGAGAGAGTTGAGAATGTAGAACAAGAAGAACAAGATAGGTTTTGCAGAGAATTCAAATCTGCCAATTGAATTACTTACTTGGTGAAGGGTTAGATATACAAGTATACAAGGTGATTATTAGTTACAAACAATGCACAAGACATGGAGGGAAACATGGAGAGTTTCCATCCCTAAAACAAGGAAGAAGAAAACAAGGAAAAGTAACAAGGTGGTAGACAAGCCATTTAGGGATGTCTATGTTTTGTCTTTGTCTTTACTAACAAATGCATCCTCTTTAATATAAATGGGATTCTCAGAAGCTGGAGCTTCTGCCATTTTTTCCTTGATATTTTCCTACACGAATAAATCAAAGACATGAAATTATATTATATTTCACATGCATTAAGAAATCAATTAAATTTCGAATTCATCTATATTACATACAATTGCAGCAGCTACAACATCATTCATTTTTGCTTTCTTTGGCTCATGTCCGATAATCCATAATTCAGGCATTGTTAAAGATTATTAGTTTTCTGCATAGAAAAGAATTAGTAATAAATCAAAAAGATCTAATAAATAAGATTTCAGAAAAGATAATATAAGTCCTACTCACATAATCATGTTCCAATCGTGCATAACATTTTCGGCTAAGTGTGTGTGGCATAGTTTGTCTTGCCCGTATTGCTCTCATTTTACCACTTTTTTCCTGCAAAAGATCATATATATATCTCTTCATATTCATATGTAACCTTAATCTTACAACAATATTTTTTATTACAAAGCATGATACATTTCTGGTCGTACTTTCCACTTATCTAACAAGCATTCTGCCACAAATGCATCCCATTCTTCCTGTGTTGCATCACTAGGCTTGAGTAGAACCATATGACGTGCTACATCTGACCTACTTTCTAAAATTCTTCTTATTTGCACTGATAGTTCAGATTTCCAGTTTCTCCAAAGCTTATCCATCATGCGCAAGATAAAATTCTTGTGACAATCACTACTACAAAAATGGAAATAGACGACGGGGAAAAACCGTCGTCTTTATGATTTGAAAACCGTCGTTAAATCGACCGTCATCTTTTGAATGTCAAACTACGACGGTTTTTAACCGTCGTTGTTTATCTATAAAGATGACGGTTTTGTCAAAAAACGTCGTTGATATATGTAAAGACGATAGTTTTTTGTTAAGAATCGTCGTTGATAGATTTAAAGATGACGTTTTTTTGTTAAGAACCATCATTGTTCAGAGGCAAAGACTACGCTTTGTATAGTAAACTCGTCGTTGTTTAGACTAAAGAAGACAGTTTATAATAAAACTGTCAGTAAATATTAGTAAACATGACGGTTTTTTGTTAATAACTGTCATTGTTCAGAGGCAAAGACGACACTTTGTACAGTAAAACCATCGTTATTTAAATGTAAAGACGACGGTTTATAATAAAAGCGTCGTAAATATTAGTAAAGATGACGGTTTCTACAATAAAACCATCGTTGATTGTCCTTAAATATGTCGTCTAATAAGTTCTCAAGCTAGTACATTTAAGTTTGTTTTTGTTTCCTTTGATTCTATACATCGATTTTAACTAGAAAAACAACTATAATGCTTTATTAATGAATATATACACTCAAAAATTATTTATTTCATAAAATTTGAAGCTTCAATAGTTATTACATAATTAATCAATCTTTATTCCTACGACATACGTACCACTTAAATATAAATATTCAATTGATACATAGTATTTAAGTAGTACAATTTTCTCCTAATAAGACCTACATCTAGTACTCCTCATCCAAGCCTTCCTCTCATCCAAACATACAATTGATGCACAATTGATGTCTACTCCATCATCCCTGTAAATAAATCAAAATGACAAAGAAAAAAAGGCTAAGATTACAAACAAATAAAATTAGATGAAAGAGAAATTTTACTTCACAGAAGTATGCAGCATTTCTAAGGGCCAGGAGATATACAGGTACATAAATTTCAGTTCGTCAACTGTCAGCCTAGAATCTCAATGACTTGGCCTAGCAAGTACACATGCATTTCACAAGCCAAAAATATAATAAAACAATTTAAACATGCCCAGCCTTGTCAGCAGGCCTTGAATTTTCCCAAATTGAACAAATGAAGAAGGTTAGTATTATCATCTAATCTTAGTCCTAGTTCTAAGGTTAATGCTTTACCATTTCTAACTTCTTTGTCACCATATGGAAAAAAAAGAACAAGAAAAGAAAAAGCAATCTGTCACATGAGCAGAATATTTTGCAAAATTGAGATGTGTCAAACCTGCACACATTAGTCTGATGTTGCTCGTTGTTGCATCATAAGATTAGAGTTGAGCATTTTCAACTTGGAAAAACTATAACAAAATTGAATTTCTAAGTCTGTTGCTGCAATAAATCACTAATTCACTACGATTTTTCGGTTAACTTTTTATTTTTCAATTTTCATTTTCTGCAAGTTACTATCAAAATAAGGCAACAATAGCAACTGACCTGCTCAAAATGAGGGAAATATTTCACATCAAATACCATCCACACCTTTAACTTTGTTGATTGAACAGTAGAAATCTATACTATACATAAAACAAGAATGATCAGTTAAAAAAACAAAAACCCAAAATAGATCACATAAGTTATACCTGTAATTTCGTGATGTCCCACCCAAAAAGTAATTTAAGCCTACAATTGGAGATGTGCCAAACATTAAGTAGAACTTCATTCAAGGCCATAAACACTAAACAGAAGGCAAACAAAAGGAAAAGAAAAAAAAAAAAAAAAAAAAAACTTGCATTACAATTTGAAACATTTGCAAACAAAGAACTATTCCAAGATTCTGAAGAGATTGAACGCCCAAGAGATGCCGGAAGCAAACCCTTTCCCACAGATGATCCACCTCCTCACCCCTCACATGTCAAATATAATATCTTACTCTCATCTCCCCCAAAACTACACAAACAATAGCCATCACCACACATCTTTTAGAACCATGCCCTTCTTCCTCCCACCAAAAAACTTATGGCTATGACAAAAGAAAACCACACTCAACTGTGATAACGCAACACAAATTGGCCTCCCTGATTTAACCAAAGGGGTAAGACAATTAGACAGCGCAGGAAGAACTAGTTCACACTCTGCCCCATTTTGCACTTCACATACCATTGATGAGGAAGAGAAAGAGAAAGTCTTCTCCTTTGAACCATATCAACAATCCAGAATTCAAACCAAGAGAAGAGTCATGGAATCAATATAACCACAATAAAAAATTCTATAATATGACCGAAAAAACAAAATTCAAGCATCTTTATCCTTCGTACACTACTACAAAAAAGGCAAAAGACGACGGGAATTCACCGTCGTGAATTTGGTTTTCAAACCGTCGTAAAATCGATCGACGTCTTTTGCAAAGTAAAACCACGACGCGAAATCACCGTCGTCGTTATAACAAACAACGTCATTAACAAAAAAACAACCGACGTCTGTATACTGAAAAATGAACCAAAAAATTGTCTTGGAGAAGAATAGACGACCTATTTTATACAACCTCCGTCGTGTAAAAGAATACAATACGTCTTTAAATAAATAAAATATGACGTTATTAAATCATACGACGTCCAATGTATTTATATAACCGTCGTGCAATAGTAATGCCACTTCGTTTTTTCCATTAATATTGACGTGGAAATAGCGGTTAAGGTAAATCACCGTCGTTGTTATAATAAACAACGTCATTTACAAAAACAACCGACGTCTGTATACTGAAAAATGAACCAAAAAATTGTCCTGGAGAAGAATAGACGACCTATTTTATACAACCTCCGTCGTGTAAAAGAATACAATACGTCTTTAAATAAATAAAATATGACGTTATTAAATCATACAACGTCGAATATATTTATATAACCATCGTGAAATAGTATTGTTACTTCAGTTTTTCCATTAATATAGACGAACTTCTCTGACAAGATGTACTACTAGATGAACCATGATATCGAAGAATGAAGGTGGAAAGTATTTTTCAAG